ATTTGAGTCATCGGTTTAATGGGTTTTGGGAATGTTAAATATATATATATAAAAAATTGGGACTCAAGGATCGATTAAGTATGAAAGGTAGATTCACCGCGTGCGTTAATCGAAGAAAACGGATTTACTAATTTGTAAATTTATAAAATTTCATCAGAATCAAATAGTAATAAAAATTAATAACATTAAATTAAAATGAAATTTATAAAGATAACAATATTTCTTTATTCAGATTTTTGAAATTATTACAATAGTTATTTTAAAATTTTATTTACAAGAAAAACATCAATATAATTAAATAAGTAATCTTTTTTGTGTATATCTACAATAATATAAATAATTACAGTTAAGAACAAATTTTTAATCAAAAAAATGCACGAGACAAGATTTGAACACGCAACCTACTGTGTACGAAGCCAACGTCTTACCTACTGCGCTACCGTTGTTGCTATTCAATAGTGACGATTGAACGTATTAAGTGTGCCCCCGGCCGACTAGTCATTTTTAAAAATCGATTTCTTCGAAATTATGGCCCATTGGCTGAAATGGCCGGACACGTGTCGTTTTCGTTCAAGAACAGCCTGTAAAAAGCGCATCAAAATCCCCGGAGCAGTCATCTGGTGTTCCCCTTGTGAGTATTGAGATTTAGTATTGGTCAATATTTAAATATTGATGTAGTTAAGTATTGATGAAGACTGAGTATGGCGAGTTAGTATTGATTGCGACGTTATTTCTGAGCTTTTGCAAAAGCGTCGACAAATTACCGCCAGCTCCAGATCACGACCGCGACACACGAACAAAATTGTTGGGCGCCAGGTGCGGAAAAGACCGCACCACCTCGGAACACAAAAAAACGCGAAAGTGCTTGAAACTCGTGTGATCCTGGGACCGTACGGGACCGGTAACTCGAATGATTATACAGGTTTACAAGATTTTTAATCACAAAAGAAATAAGAGATTTATCCGAAGGAATTCGGTGCACTGAATTCAAATCTGGCCTTAGAATGACGCTATCACGTCAGGATTTTGAGATATTCTAACTTAAAAGTGCAAAAATGGCTGTTTTAGGGCATTATTGGAGTTTCCTCCTGGTTGCAAAGAATTTTACCGACAAAAACTAAATAAAGTACCGTAAAGTACGAGTCTTGCCCTTCAATTTCCATTTTGGAACGTCTAAATAGGATTTTTTTTTCATCGAGATACAGCAGATTTAAGTTTTTACTGCATACAGAAAATTTTCTAAAGGCAAGACTCGTACTTTACGGTACTTTGTTTAGTTTTTGTCGGTAAAATTCTTTGCAACAAGGAGGAAACTCCAATAATGCCCTAAAACAGCCATTTTTGCACTTTTAGGTTAGAATATCTCAAAATCCTGACGTGATGGCGCCATTCTGAGGCCAAATTTGGATTCAGCGCACAAAATTCCTCCGGAAATCAGTATAAAGTTTCATGTGATATTAAATATCCTTTAATTTGTTGACCTGTGTTATTGGAGTCGGCGACGGGATGGGTTCGGAAGGTGACAGGGACGGAAAGAGAATAGACTTGAGAAATTTAGCAATAACTGATCTTTTATTAAGCGGGACTCGCGATAACTTCGCGATACGCTCGACAAGTCTTCGGCAATGTCGCCGCGCGCGTGGTCTTGACGGTATTCACGGGACTCGATACGAAATCGCGGACGCGACAATTGCGGCCCGAAGACGGTTTCCTCGGGCGAGCCTGTTTTCGCAGCCGCTCCGCGGACGGGACGTCGATAACATAGAAAAAGATCTACGACCACGATACGAAAATGTCAGAGCAGATGGGAGGTCTTACAGTGACGGCGGCTTGCCCAGCGTATGGCGGGTCTGGTGGCGGTCCTCGCCTCCTGTCGGTTGCTTGTCGACGCGCTCTCTCGGAGTCCACTCCCGTTCGCTCACACTCTCCTCCGCTTTCGCGCTCCACGCACTCTCACATTCTCTCGTGATTCCTGCACGAATCGAGACGGCACGGTTGGTCGATATCACAAAAGTTGGAACGACACTTTTCGAGGCTGCTGATCTGCTCAGGGATCTCGAATCCTGGGAGTTCCCCCTTCGTCGCTCCTTTCCGCGTTCAGAATTCCTCGGTTTCGTCAATCGGCGATCAACAGCTTTCGGTAGAGTTGTTTTGAGACACTTTCGTCGTCGATGCTGGGCTTGCAGTCTTGATCGGCACGCACCATTTCTTATAGCTGTGACCCTCTGACCAGTATTGTTCTTCCGGTATTGCTCCTGGTTTCCCGCTGCGTTCGCCAAGCGTCAGCTGAAAGGTAAATATAGCTGACTGTCGAGTCAGCAGGCTGATCGAGTCTTAATTCGGCAGCGGTGTTCCCGTATTAGTGAATATTCTGAACGATAGAATATTCAGGAACTCAGCGCGATCGGAATAAGCGAGAATATTATAGCGCTAAGTAATGCAAGAGCGATCACCTGAGTGAGAGCGATGAGCGATGAGCTGGCGGCCGACGTTCCTCCCACGTCGTCCACGGATTCCGCTGGTCTTGGTAGTCGGCAAGGGAAGCCGAGGGAGTACAAAATCTAGGACGCGATGACCTACGCATTTGCTCCGCTTGCACGAAATAAACTCTGAAATTTGGTCCTAAGGACTCACACGAAAAACGGAAGCTATTCCAGGACGCGATACGCGAAAAATGGTCGCGAAGTCGGTGCGCTTTTTATTGGGACGGGCGCCTCCGAGGCTGCCACGTCACATGGTCAATATTTAAATATTGATTATATCAAACAATATTTATAAAAATTTAAAAACATTTGAAAAACATTTTCAGAATGTTAAAAATAATGGGATAAGTTCTCTTTTTTCATTAAAAAGATGTTTTTTTAACGTTTGGAAGAATATTTTGTTTTTTAATATTTAATAAACATTTATTTTAACATTTAAAAAACGTTTTTCTAAATGTTAACATTTAAAATTTAAAAAATACTTTCTAAATGTTAAAATAAACATTTACTAAGTATTAGAAAACAAAACATTTTTTTAAACGTTAAAAAACGTTAAAAATGTTTTTTTAATAAAAAAAAAGAGAATTTATTCGTTATTTATTCATTATTTTTAACGTTTTAAAAATGTTTTTTTAATGTTTTTTTTAATTGTAATGTTTTCTAATGTCAACACTTAGGTAAACATATTTTATATAAATATTTTATGCATATATTTCTGACTTCTTTTTTATTATATATAAATATTTGGAAAATAGTATATTTTTGTGGTAGTACTAAATAACAAAATTATAATTACTGCTTCGGCTGCATATGGAGATAATAAGAAACGGTTTGTATCAGTTGAAGAAATATCGCAGCAGTCAAGATGATAGATTAGGAACCTAGAAGTATCTGAGGTCTTGAGTTCACGTCCGACTAGTACTGAGCAAATTTTTAGATGTAAAAATAGGAAGAAATCAAATAAAAAAGCTAAATTTCATTTAAAGTCAGTATTAATACGCTGTGAGGGATAGTATATTCTAATAATATTCCACGTATATACTTAGTACTTATCAATATTAAGTATTCCTCAAAAAGTATTGGCGAATTTAGTAGAGTAAAGGCACTAAAAGCGACATACTTTGTTTTTGGAGGTTATATCTTAATGTAAAGCACAAAATATAAATGTAAATATATATACATGTAGTTGGAAGTACCTCCTATCAGATAATATCATATTTTTACTGAAATTGTTTCTACATTTAAAACAAAAAATTGCGTTTTTGTAAAACGCACGAAAATGGAGTTCCAAGAAAATGAGTGCCAAAAGCGACATACCTATTGGAAGTTATATAACATGTTGCATATATGATAATATTTGATAATAAATAGTTTCTTAATGCGTTTAATGGTTGAAGAATATTCATTTAATCAAAATATAATATTACAAAAAGGAAATATAATTAAATAAAAACATATATTTGGCATTTCCATCTTTTTCATTTCTCACATATTTTACATATGTTATATTTTTAAACTAAACAGAATTAAACTTTAAAATAAACAAATGTCACGTTACAATGGGAGGTTATCAAGTTATGTTAGTCACAGAGTATAGCACCTATCGCATACTGTAGGGGATGTCACTTTAAGACACATTCTCTTAAAATTTTTCAAGTTAAACAGTAAAAAAATAATGAAGATAAAAATATTAAAAAAATATTTGTACAAAAGCCAAATGCATGTAGAAGAATTTAATATTAAACAAAAAGATTATTACCGTTGTTTGGTCTACGTAATTCGTCAATAAAAATCATAGAAATAAAACTTATGAATTTTTAAAACTCGATATTTGCTAATTTAGCATATAAAAGAACAAGAAATATACCAAATATGAATTTTTCATGACTTAACTGATAAAACGAATTACGTTTATATTAGTTTCGATAAAATACAACATTTAATATATAAGATATAGAGGTATGTCGCTTTAGGAGACTTATATTGCTTTTGGCTACTTTTCTCTATTAACCAATACTAAATATTGCGCGCTTTATACTATTTTTCCGTATTCATCAATACTAAGTATTTCCCGAAAAAGTATTGGTCAATTTAGTATTAACCAATACTAAGTACTGCGCACTCAATAGTTTTTTCTGTAAGAGTCATGCAACATCTCCGATCCAGATTAGTAGTCAGGCCACAAAGTCGTATATAGCCACCGCAATATTTTTCTTACATTTATTACACTTTAATAACGGGGAAGAAAATTACACAATAAATATATAAAAATAAAATATCAAAATTCGCGCTTAATACGGTCATATCATCACACATATGTAAATATGTACTATGGATTAGACAAACAAGACTCCTATGATCAGTGACAGAAAATACAACAGCAATGAGAACTAGTCGCAATTATCAGTACGAATATTAAATCATAAGAGGATAAAACTGTTTGTCATTGCTAAAACATACACCGAATATTGGGTGCGTTCCGTTTCCACGCATAATGCGCATAAAACGCAGCGTTAGAGTGACAGAGATACGAAAATAAGATAAAATGAGAGGGAGAGCACTCGGGTGAGGTTCTCGAACCTAGGTTAGGTTAGGTTAGTTCTCGAACGCATAAACTGCCTCAGCTCCGAGATAGTGCAGTCCACGCGATCTCATGCGTTCGAGAACTAACCTAACCTAACCTAGGTTCGACAACCTCACCCGAGTGCTCTCCCTTTCTTTTTATCTCACTCTCGTATCTCTGTCACTCTAACGCTGCGTTTCATGCGCATCATGCGTGGAAACGGAACGCACCCATTGTTATATTAAATATATCCTGGAAAAATATTCCATGCGTGCGTCGAATTCACGTACTCACACACTACAAAAATAGACAAACTTCTCATAAATAAAAAATTTCAGTTTCAGAATATGCATATATATATTTTCATAAAAACAAAGTATGGGAATGTATGACTATTGTCATGTAAAATAATTAATTTTATTGTGGTAATTAATTTTATTGTAGTTATATATTGAAATGTTTTATAATTATATATTCTACATATCAGTACTATCTTTCAGTCTCTTACTATGAGAAAGTTCGAAGAAAACATGTTACGTACATGTATGGTGTGGAATAGACGACTGCATATAGCGTTACGAGTATATAGACGTGTTCCTATCTATTTTTTGAAAAGTCCGTATGTCGGAAAATGGCTTCATCATACATGGTTGAATTTGGAATGAAAAATCTTTTCATTTAGTGGAAACAAAATTTTTAAATTATAAAAAAATTGGTGAGTGATTGATGATTGGAGTATGTTTAACATTTTAATGTTTTTTTAAACTGAGAACGTCGTTGTAAAGTACACTTCAAACAATTCAATTTTGGTTTAAAGAGTTTCTTTTATCTCTTATACTTTTGACGATGCATGCTCCGAAAGAGAAATATCGATTTTCCTTCAAAAGGGTGTTTTACCATCTAAAAATGCGACTGAGCACGTATAAAAAAATACGTGTTCTCTATTTTAGTTAGGGATGTGCCGGATATCCGGCAACTATTCGATATCCGGTCTATCCGGCCATCTTTTTTCAATCCGGCCGGATAGCTGGATTTCATTAGTATCCGGTCGGGTAACCGAATATTAATTTATTAGTATAAGTTTAACAGTTTGTGCCATTAATGCAGAATTTGAAATCCAAATCCGGGAAAAAAAGTTAAGATAAAAGCCAGATATGGATTTTGTTAAGATCTGATCAGATATAATCAGATATAATTCAGATATGATTCAGATCTGTCCATATATAATCATATATAATCATATATAATCATACGAGGTTTGATAAAAAAATACGCCAAATTTTTAAATTTTGCGGGCTGTATAAGTCTAATTGTCACATTTTTTTTGTTGTTGTGTTGGTACACTTGTCCTTGACGTATCTTGACATTGGTAGTCATATTGGATGCTTACTTTATTGTTGGCTGTCGAAAAGTTACACATGTTTTGATATGCTCGACGATTTTTAACTTGTGAAAAAAGTGGAACAAAGAATTTGCATTAAATTTTGCTTTAAAAATGAAATAAAGTACAGCACCGCATTGGAAATGTTGAATGTTACTTTTGGCGAATATTCTATGAATAAAACAAGCGTTTACTGGTGGTACAAATGTTTCTAAGAAGGCCGTGAAGACGTTGAAGATGACGAGCGCCCTGGACGCCCCAGCACATCAACAACCGATGACAACGTCGAAAAAATGAAAAAAATGATGATGGACCCGATGAAAAATTTTTCATGCAAAATTATGTATGAAATTTGTCCATAATTATGTATAATTATATATAATCATATAAAATTATATATAATTATACACAATTATGTATAACAATATGTATAATTACATATAAATCTATGTGTAATTATGTAAAATTATATATATAATTATACATAATTATGTATAATTACATATATAAGTAGAATGTATAAACATGAATGGACAAATTTGATACATAATAATATATAATTATGTATAATTATATATAATTTTATATAATTTTATATAATTATATATGAAAAATTTTTCATTGAGGACAATCGCCGAATCATTATCAGAGAGGTTGCTGATGATGTTGGCATATCATTTGGCTCATGCCAAGCAATTTTTTCGGATGTTTTGGGCATGAAACGTGTGGCAGCAAAATTATTGAATTTTGTTCGTGAATTTTTGGCCAAAAACAACGCCGTTATGATGCCTCAGTTTCCGTAATTGCTGGACATGGCCCTCTGTGACTTCTTTCTATTCACGAAGCTGAAAAGAACCATGAAAGGACGACGTTTTGCCAACATTGAAAAGATAAAGACAGAATTGCTGAAAGAGCTAAACGCCATACCGAAAATTACGTTCCAAATGTGCTTCGAAGATTGGAAAAAGCGCTGGCACAAATGTATTATATCTCATGGGAAGTACTTTGAAGGGGACAAAATTAATATCGATGAATAAATAAAGATTTTTTGAGAAAAACGAAAATTCCGCGTATTTTTTTATCAAACCTCGTATATATGATTATATATGGACAGATCTGAATCATATCTGAATTATATCTGATTATATCTGGTCAGATCTTGAAAAAATCCATATCTGGCTTTTATCTGAACTTTTTTTTCCCGGGAAGTTCTCTAAGAACAGACAAATTAATTATCTTTTATTAAGTCAACTCTGTAATATACAATCTTTCTGAAGATTTATTTTTAATGCTTAGCAGTGCCGCCAAAGTAAGCCGTTCTCTTAGCCAGCACAATACATGATATGCGATGCACGATATCCAATGAGCGTACAGTTTTACCAGAATACCAG